GACAACGGTGAAGGGCGTGACAAATTAATGCAGAAGTGTACTCTTTAATCTGGTTCGGGCAGTAAAATGTCTCCTAATTCATAGTCAGCAGAATCACCAAGTTGCACTAACCACCCGGGAAAGCGAAGGGAGCACGTGCTTTAGGGGGCGGGGAGGGGAGTGGAGTTAAAACAGATTTTCAGTCCAAATGACATCGCACTTATAGCAAGAAACCCCGGTCAGATGATACTGCGCTAGGTTACACAGAGTGCAATAGATGTCGGCCAGAGTAAAAACCTTCTATGAGAAATATAGCCTAAAAAGTAGCGAATGTCTTGTAAGTCGTAGAAATGATTGGAATAAAGTGAACCGGTTCGTTTAGTTTTATAGTATTGGTTAACGTCTACAGTTTAAAGCTAGATTGTTGCGATATCTACGCGCTTCATGAACATAACGTACAAAAATACGCTTACGCAAACGCATGTCTAGTAATTGATTTACTAGGTCTGAAAAGCTGTGTTAACAGGGTTGGTCGCCTATTTACTTTGTGAATAGAAAATGAACGAGAACCGTAAATATTGGAACTTTGACCACTATAACATATCTTATAAAAAAAGAGGTGACAGGCAGCGTTCCTGGAGCCGACAGTGCGGGACATATCTTCTACTAGGAAGGTGCTCACGACTAATGTGTTCTGCACTTATGCTAGCGACAACAATACTTGTTTAACAGGGCTATGGGTTATCTGGATTCATAAAGACTTGTTTTACTTTTCCCTGCCAGCCTCCTTGAGGGATAAAGAGCTTGAAAAATATAGATCAAATATATGCAGAAGTTTTGGCAAGCAATTTCTACATTACACCCTAAAATGCAATAATGCATTTCAGAGCCTTTGATAGCTGAAGTATATTATTGCCAGAAAACTTGGCTGAAAATCTTACCTCATAGAAACAGACCTACAGATGATTTTGGAAACAATCCATGCAATAACGCCCCATTACTAGTAATTAGAAACTGAGGCAAAGTTCAAACTCACTAATGACAAACGAGTTTAGTTGACGGTAAAAATCGAAATGAAAACAAAAATATCATATACTCTTGTTCAAACAACGGTGATGGTCATAAGTTAGGAACTTACGTGGGATACTCTTGGGAAACCGAAATTCATACTTGAACTTTTCAATGCGCGAGATGCTCGTCTTAGTTTCCTGTGTGAAGTATTCGATGAGATCACGACCGAAGAGCTCGGCAGCAGCAAAGCCAACTATAAGAATTTCCATCACTTTTGAGGCTTTCTCGACCTATGGCGGCAAAAAAAAGTTTAGAATTCAACATCATCTAAGGGAAGTAACTCAAAACTTAAATAAACGATAGTAGCTGTTTGGCATATCGAATAGGATAGTAGAACGAAAAGAAACAAATGCGGACTATAATAGTGGAGACCTGGACAAGTCATAAATCCATAAGTCGAATAATTTCGAAAATATGATTGGAATACACCGGAGACTTAGATGAAAATAACTATGTGCTATTTTTAGTCAGCCAAGTTATACTAAGGTATTTTGAATGGACGTGAGTAATAATAATCTGCGGTTCAACTGGAAGTGATCAAAATAAAGTTTCTACCTATCTCTAGACTAACTTTTTGCGACCAAGCTCACTTCACAAAGGCCATAAAAATCTCAAAAAGAAACTCGAAGAGAGCCGACCCTCAACGCTCCAGCATTTGGAGGATGCAACAGAAAACGTTTACACGGCAAGTGGGGGGCATTCCTAGGTCTGATTGCAGGTATAACCCACGTCTCCGCGACTTAACTTAATAATACCAAAGATGATCACGCATTAGTGAGCAGGTAATGGTGTGTGATGTAATCTAAGGAAAATATTTTGAGTGTGATGTAATCTGGGTGATGTAATCTAAGGAAAATATTTTGAGGCTGCTACAAGCATTCAAATATAACTGATAGTGAATAAAAATACGAAAGTGTACGAGCAATAAAATTTAAATGCATGAGAGGAATTCCAGACTGCTTTGTAAAGCGAAACCGGTGTCAACATACAAAAATTGCTAACCCTAAAAAATTTGTTGCATACCCTTTCTGGTGAATAAGTGCAGCTAGGGAAGACGGAGCCCGCCACTGACTTTGCCACAGCTTCAACAGACATGGCGTTGACCTCTGTGTGATAAATCATTCTAAACCAGGTGCCGAATAGCAATGCCAGTAATTGTTGAACTGTTTTTGACTGCGATGTGATGATTCTACAATTCAGAAAATGCAATATATGGAAGTTGATTTGAAAAAAAGAGTTGCGCTTTTTCATTTTAGGAAAAAAATCAAGTGCTTGTGTCTTGAAAATAGATACGGCCTAGAATAGTCACGTGGAGTAATACAAAAGGGTTGAAGATTGGTAGTTTTTTTGCCGTAACTTGTAAAATATGGATTCCCTAAGGATATTACCGATATCTCCTTGTCAGTGGAGGACAAGTGTTGTGACAATCGAATTTGAATACATATATTGACAAAAGCACAACTAAGCAAGTTCAGATAAAAAAAAATAGCAGACCTATAAGAAGGCGGTATTAAGGTAAGTAAACAGATTCCTTAAACGCATATTCACCAGCGTATGTTATAGCAGCAGACTATCGCTGTGTGTACTCACCTGTGCATAATAGCATACCGGGAATCAATATCCGGTACATCCAGGGACTCGATGAGTGCATTCTCCGCGGCCTCACCCAATATGCCACCATCCAAATGTAAAAGAAAACGTTTCGCAATGTTCGCTAGTGTGTAAAAGTCATAGTTAGTCCAGCATATTGGTCGGCCGGCTTCAAGGTCTGCAATGACTTTTTTGATACTTCGGGGGTTTCCTGGACGACGGAATAAATCCGTTACAGCCACGCCTTCTCTTGCAATATACACTAAGAGATCCTAAGGTCGGTATAATTCAAAGGAAATTCAGCAGTACCCGAAGTTGGGAGGCAAGATTTTCTGACTTGAATGCATCACCAATGCGAACATTAAAATGAACTTTTGTAGGTTTACGGGTTACTTCATGTTTGCGTCGTACGCACGACCGAATATTTTGAAATATCGGCATTATTTGTGTTGTTTTCAGTAAAAAGCAATAAAATTGCGAGAAAACACGAGACGCGTTGCAAGGATTCGCAACGGGACCGACAGAATGCCAAGGTCGGCTATTCGAAGTTACCAAAACGGTTTCTGCGTCCTCATTGGTCATCAGCTTAAGGCAGTATTCGATTCAAATTTCTTTAGGTTCCAAGAGTACATCCACTTTATCCCTAAAACAGATACGCCCGTAATGAATAATCACCCAAAGAATTTACTTTAACGCAAACAACGAGAGCAAGGTACTCAACCATCTACAAAAAAGGATATATTCTGCTAACCCAGGCAGAAGAAATTTGTACATATAGGGAATTCGAGCTGTTTCCGAAAGAGCTCCGTCGCGCAGTAGAAATCTTAGCCTGGACTAGTAAACTGTGGATCATTTAATGCGTCCATATACTGTCCTTAATCACGGGGATAAATATGGCGTCGTATGGCATATTCCGCGGCTTTTGTTGATCCAGTGCCTGTGGGTCCATCAACGTGGTGTGTCGCTACCGATGAATATGGAAAATGGGAAATGCCTTTAATTAACCCTGAAAATGGTTACGGTAGGTATTTTGGGTTTTTAAATAAATGATGCGTAAAGT